GTTCAGTTGCTTCAGTCATGTCTGCCCCTTTGCAGCCCGTGGACTATAGCCCAACAGGCTCCTCTGTCCATGGGATTCTTCAGGCAAGAATACTGGAGTGGGTCACCATGCCCTCCTCCAGGGGATCTTCTGGACCCAGGCTTCAAACCCACATCTCTTATATCTCCTGCATTGGCAGGCGGGTTCTTTACCACTAGCAATACCTGGGAAACCCATAAATCAACTATATTTCAATTTCTAAAAAATCATAATAGAATGGTGGCATACTTAATGAAATCTGGTGTGTCAGAGACTCATACAAGACTTCAGTCATATTTGGCACTGTTAAAGTTAAGCTAACTTATTGATAAATGCATCAACCCTTGGAAATCACAGGCTTTCTGTTCCTGGAGAGGAATAAGAGGAACTAGGATGATGTCTGTCACCGTTGTTTCAGATAAGAGGTGAGACTCTAACCCATGCATCTGCAAACTCTATGAAACCAAGATGCTAACCCAGAGGGCAAAATGATTGGAAACAAAAAGAATGAAAGATGATGAATCCAAAGTCAAAGAAATTAATTTTAGTGAGTCATGTCAAGAGAAAATGAAATGGTAGAGGATCAAAAGGAAAGAAGAGGAATGCTGACCAGAGTCTATTGTCCAAATGAAGCAGAGAATTACATCCTAAGATGCAAGAGGAGACATGTTGTTTAGTCGTAAGGAATGCTGACCAGAGTCTATGGTCCAAATGAAGCAGAGAATTACATCCTAAGAGGCAAGAGGAGACATGTTGTTGTTTAGTCGCTGAGTCATGTTTGACTTTTGTGACCCCACAGACTGTAGCTAGGACCTCATGGACTGTAGACTGGAGTGGGTTGCCATGTCCTTCTCCAGGGGATCCTTCCAGCCCAGGGATTGAACCTGTGTCTCCTGCACTGGCGGGTGGATTCGTTACCACTGAGCCACTAACGCTCCCCTGGTGAATACAGAAGCTGTCTAATTCAATCTCTTCATTGTGCAGATAAGAAAATCAAGAAAGAAAATACAATGATTTACCTAAAGATTGATTAAGAGCAGTAATAAAAAGAGAACCCAATTCCGTTCTCTGTCTACCCTATGAAGGAATATCTGTACCATTAATAAAATTCTCAAGAAAAAGGGATGGATGGCACCATTATACAAATCTAATGGAAATGAGTTTCATCTATGAAAGCTCCATCTTTCTCTATATTTATTAGTGCTATCCTAAAGTAGCTGAATTAATCCACTCACTGAGTTAATTTCATATTTTCAGGGCATGTATTTCAACTCTATAATTTATAGATGTTCTGTAAAAAATTAGAAACATCCATAACACATGCATATCAGGTTTGAACATCATTTCTGTCATCCACCAGAAAAAGAGGCAGAAAAATCCATTAGCATTTTGTTAGGATGGTGCCTCCAATGTAAAAAATCACAATTCTAGCTTCTTTCTAACAACACTTAAGTCTAAAACTGTTTTCCTTCCCAGTTTCCCCCTTGATTATTCATTATTTGGCACACAAGAAGCATCTCTTCTCTTTCAAGAATATCTTTGAACACAGAACACAGTGTATCATACAAATATCACATTGACTACAATCTAACTAAAAACCATGTGGTCCTGACATTTGTTGCTGTCCCTTCTTCTCTCCGCTAGCACCATACCCTAAATTTACAATCTGCTAGAGAATATTCAGCTTTGCTCCAGGGACATTCTGGTGGCGAGAAACCTCCTTAAGGTTATAATTCTCGAGTTCTCACAAAAGCAAATTTCTCATCTTTGGGAAGCTTGTCAGCACTCTGGCTGCAAGTATCCAGGCAACTGTGAGATGAGGAACAAGGTTGGTCATAGGGTTGGAGGGAAAAGATGATAAGAATGTATGAATCACTTAAAATAAATCAGATCCATGATCCATTTGTCTAAGGTTAAGTACCATGCATGTGTGCTCAGTCGTGTCCAACTCTTTGTAACCCCATGGACTGTAGCCCACCAGGCTCCTCTGTCCATGGGATTTTCCAGGCAAGAATACTGGAGTGGGTTGCCATTTCCTCCCCCCAGGGGATCTTCCCGACCCGGGATCAAACCCGTGTCTCCTGCACTGGCAGGCGGATTCTTTTAAAATGCACCACCTAGGAAGCCCATAAGCTTAAGCGCCACTCTCGCTGTAACACTGAGAGAACAAGAATTGTGAATAAAGAGAAAACTTGGCAGTTTCAGGAGGCTTATCCTTTTTATTTCTCCTGACTGCCCAACACCTAGTGTCAGATTTATTCCTTTGCATCCTTGGCCACACTCAGACATCAGTCCTTCTGCACCCACCACTCCGCCCATTCTCTTCCAATCTGCCTTCACCACAGGCCATCATACCTCCTTTTTAAAATGATTTTTTATATATTGGGGGCTTCCCTTGTAGCTCAGCTGCAATGCAAGAATCCACCTGCAATGCAGGAAACCCTGGTTCAATTCCTGGGTCAGGAAGATCTCCTGGAGAAGGGTTACCGGCTCCAGTATTCTGGGGTTCCCTAGTGGCTCAGCTGGTAAGGAATCCACCTGCAATGCAGGAGACCTGGGTTTGATCCCTGGCTTATATATTCATTTATTTTTTTTACTTATCTGACTGCACCGGGTCTTAGTTGTGGCACACAGGATGTGTGATCTTCCTTGAGGCATGTAGCATATTTAGTTGCCACACACAAATTCTTAGTTATGACATCGAACCTGAGCCCCCTCCATTGGGAGCACACAGTCCTAGCCACTGGGACACCAGGGAAGTCCCTCATATCTCCTTGTTAGGAGAAGAACATTCATCTGAAAAATGCAAGTGACTTGTAGCCAGACCTAATGTGCTCACCCTCCCAGAAGCATTTTACATTTCTGAAAAGGAACATGTTGCTCTAAAGAAAAGAATTTCTAGTGCTGCTGGAATTTGGGCTGAGATGTCTGGGGGACTCAAAGGCCTTCTCAGCAATTTGGAAATGATACTAGATGGGGTTTCTCCATAAATAGATATACTCAGCTCTAGGGTAGAATTAGAATAATAGAAATCATATGAATTTAGGACATTTGGGACAGTGGTTCTCATCCCCAAAATAAGAGTCAAGTAAATCATTTTACCTCTCCTCCTCTCCTTACTTGTCCATGAAACAGGTTTCAGAATACCTACTTCACAACTCTTTCATGGAGATCATGAGGTTAATACGTATGCAAAAACATTTTTACAAACTTGAGTCACCTTCATTATCAAAAGTGATTTCCCTCATGATACCGATCATTATGGAAATACCTCCCACTGATTCTAGCTTTTTAAAGGATTCTTCTAAAGTAAAGGTTGGCAAACTTTGTCTGTAAAAAGATAGTAAATAATTTTGACTTTGCTGACCATACAGTCCGTTCCACTGTGAAACTCTGCGGTTGTAGGTAAAAGCAGCCAAGGGTGATACATAAACATATGAATACGGATAGATTTAGCTCGCAAATTGTATTTTACTGATCTCCAAAGACAAAATAACAAAACAGGGATATATGTTCATTACAGATATGAAAGAGTCAAGGCATCTACTTTGAAAGTAAGCATTCACCTTCCAGCTCTTAGATCAAACAACATACTTGACAGAATATTGACCTGTTTCTTTGACTTTCATCTTAGCTACCCCATAAACTAGTTCTCTAACTCATTCTCTAACAAGCAGATCAAAAGCAAAGTATAAAGATGATGTGCTTTCTTATGTAAGTGCAATCTATTCTCTACTTTGGCAGGCAAGTTCTTTACCACCCAGGAAGCCCGATCCTCTTATATACCAAGTGTTAGAAGCACTGGCTTAGAGGAGAAGAATCCATCTGCAGGGATGACCTGGCCCTCTTATTACCTGCCCACAGTGTCAAACTGGTCCACTTGCCCTTTCTTCTACCCTCATGGGTCCGGTGGAAATGCGATAGAGCTGGTTGTCATGGTAGTTAAGTGTTTCTCCAGGGTTTTTTCTTTTTTTTTCTTTTCTGGAAGCAAAAGCTTGGACTCTCAGAAGGGCTGTTTGTTTCTTTGCCTTTTGGAGGACAGCTTTTTCCTCCCCCCAAGCCCAGGCCCTAGGCTGCACTCCCCACCCCGTGTTTTCACAGAGCTTCCAAAGTGGGGGTGAAAGGTGGCTCATTGAGAGACATGGAACTTGAGTCATGATCTGTGTCCTTCCAGCTGTGCTCTCTGTTGGCATCCAGTGGGAAAGCTGGTGCTGGGAGGGGTGACTTCATCAAAACATTGCATGCAGTATCTTGAAAGCTCCTCTGACGGGCCAGAGCTGGGTCTGCATACCCCTGGAACCAGGCTTGTGCCTAACTCGATACCCATTTGCTGAATTAATAAATAATAGAAAGAAGACATCAATCAAGAAAGGAACAAATGCGTAAAAAGCCCAGACTCAGGGAGAGAGTGGGCTGAATACCTTGAAAGGCATTTTTGTTATGCACAGGCATGATTTTTGACACAGTAATTCAACACATCTGCTTGCTGGTTTGCTCTTTGGGAATGAGATTCTGGAAAAGATTGGGTATAAGAAAGAGTATGAATTATACTCTCTGTGATCGTTCTCTCTGTGATTTCACTATTCACCAAAGCCAATAAATAGTAAACTTCTAATTTATTCATTATTCCTACTGTTGGGATACTGTTGGGATTCTGAAGGGGATCCAACAGAACAGCTGCCCTCTGTCCTCATTTTGGACAAACAGAACATTCTTAGGAGCATATGGACTTGTGGGTGTGGGCCTGTGGTGCATGGTGTGGGGGGAGGATCGTGAAGGCCTGGAAAAAGTAATACTTTGAAACTCAAAGCAAATTGCACCTATTTCAGCAAATTGGAAATTGATGGTGTGTAACTCTGAAGGGCCTAGCAGTAGCTATTATTTCCATTCAGGCTATTATTAACTGGTAATATTTTCTCTAGTAAACATTCGGTTACCATAGCAACAGGAGTCGTGTCATATGGACACAAGGACTCCCTGGCTTTGCCGGAGAAATGGACAGCGTTTTAAATGAACTTTAGAAAAGGCAAAGAGACTTGCCAGAAGATATTTTGGAAACACTAAATTCATTTTTTTTTTTTTTTTGCTGGAGACAAAGAAAGGAGCTCTGATAAAGTGGAAAACTGCACAAACCCTCTGCTGGTACCTCCTCAGCAAGCACAGAAGTGTCTTTCTTCCTGCCTGAACCAAACCCTTCACTGTGCCTTAGGTGTTACCACATGCCCCCTGCTCATGAGCTTACTGACAGGGTCAAATGTGGTTTCTAAATCCTCTAGCTTCCGTCTCTCCCCTCACTACATCTCCCCAGGGATATCTTTTAAATTACCATCTGTACTGACATGCACATGCCGGCAAAAAATAGCAAATCATCAGAATACAGCTCAATAAACCATTTCAAAGAGAACAAAAAATACACCTCTGTGCCCGCTGCACATCAAGAAACAGAATACAGCAGTGCCGGGAGAGCCTGTCTATGCTCCATTCTATATACTAATTGCCACACCTGAGTGGTAACCACTAGAAGTTAATTTCCCTTATGTTTAAAATTTATATAACTAGACATTCGTATTACACACTGTACCATCTAGTTTCATTCACTCAAAAATACGTCACTAGAATCGTCCATATTAAGGCATGGAAGAAAGGTATGTCCATTTCATTGTGTGTTAGTTTCCTAAGGCTGTTTTAACCACAAACTAGGTGACTTAACAGAAGTTTATTGTCTCACAGTTTTGGAAGCCTGACGTCCAAGATCGAGGCATCAGCAGCGCTGATTCCTTGTAAAGGAGATTTTGTTCCATGCTCATCTCTCAGCTTCCGGCGGCTTGCCGGCTCTCTTGGGCACTTCCGGTCTTGTAGATGTATCATTTTGTTCTCTGCCTTCATGTTCACGTGGCGCCATCCCTGTGAGTATCTCTCTCTTCACAAGGCATGTTTATAAGGACGCCAGTCATGTAGGATTAGCGGCTCAGTTTACCTCAGTATGACTTCATCTTGAATAATTACATGGGCAATGACGTTATTTCCAAATAAGAGTTAGAACTCCAATATGGATGTGCATTTGGAGGACAGCCCAGGTGGCCCTAGTGGTAAAGAACCCACCTGCCAGTTCAGGAGATGTAAGAGATGTGGGTTCGATCACTGAGTCGGGAAGATGCCCTGGAGTAAGGCATAGTAACCTGCTCCACTATTTTTGCCTGGAGAAGCCTATGGAGAGAGGAGCCTGGCGGGCTACAGGCCACAGTCACAAAGAATCTAACATATCTAAAGCAACTTAGCATGCACACACAATTAAAGCCATAACAAGTGCTATCAAGTATTCCTTTGCATACATATACCACGATGTATTTATTCACCCTACTGTTGATGGATATTGGGTAATGCCTCATCTGGGCTATCCTTTTCCTTGTTAATTCATTTCTTTATTTTTGACGGGGCCAGGTCTTCACTGCTGCACAGGCTTTTCTCCAGTTGCTGTGCGCGGGATTCTCATTGAGGTGGCTTCTCTTGTTGCAGAGCACAGGCTCTAGGGCACGTGGGCTTCGGTGATTTTGGTATGTGGGCTCAACAGTTGCGGCTCCTGGGCTCCAGAGCTCAGCAATTGTGCTGTGGTATCTGAGATCTTCTCGGATCAGGGATCCAAAGCATGTCTCCTACATTGGCAGGTGGGTCCTTTACCCACTGAGCCACCAGGGAAGCCCTGGGCTCTTCTGTAATGGACCAGGCTTAATCCTTGACAAAATGAAAGAGCATGAAACTTACCTTTGATGTTCTTTATTTCTTTGTTCTGGGTGTCCCACTGTATATTTTCCTCCCTTCTCGGTGTCTTTTTTCTCTACAGGTTCTACTCTGTCCTAGCTGCTTAATAGCAATTGTAAATTTTGCCAATCTGGTCTTCAGAAGTTATGCTTCTGTCCAAATTTCCCTTTATAAGGAGATTCCACAAGACCAGAAATCAGCTAAACTTAATGGAATGCCTCTCTACACTTGAAGTCCAGGATGTGGGAAATCCCTGGAGGAGGGTTGGCAAGAGTTTTTTCCCAAATCAAACAGGGAAACCCATGGAGACTTTTGTTACACAATGTGATCCACACATAGTGTGCTAGTAGGCACCCTGTGATAGAATGATAGCAAGAGTGAGAAATGGTACAGATGAATCTATGTGCAAAGCAGAAGTAGAGACACAGATATCAGTTAGTCAGTTCAGTTGCTCAGTCGCATCCAATTCTCTGTGACCCCATGGACTGCAGCACAACAGGCTTCCCTGTTCATCACCACTCCCAGAGCTTACTCAAACTCATGCCCATCAAGTCGGTGATGCCATCCAACCATCTCATCATCTGTCATCCCCTTCTCCCGCCTTCAATCTTTCCCAGCATCAGGGTCTTTTCCAGTGAGTCAGTCCTTCACATCAGGTGGCAAATGTACTGGAGTTTCAGCTTCAGATGCTCAAGAGTCTTCTCCAACACCACAGTTCAAAAGCATCAATTCTTCGGCACTCAGCTTTCTTTATAGTTCAACTCTCACATCCATACATGACTACTGATCTGAGTGTCAGCTGAAGGTCAGCTGAGCCAGGGTGGACTCCTGACCTAAGTTGCAGGATAGGTTCAAGTCTGCTCAACATGTGTTTTTTTCTCAGGTCCAAATTTCAAAGGCAAGATAGGCAAAGTTCGTGTCCAGACACATCTCACACCTCTGTTCACCTCACCTCAATTCAACACCAAGTTACCATTGACAATGGTAACTCACATGACCAAGAACCCAGAAGTGGGGTGGGGAGGTATAGTCTTCCATGGAGAAGAGGGCCATGACTCTTTGCTGAATAGTAAGATAATCTGTCACAGAAAAGATGAGATGTTTCTATGTTTAGATGACATAAGGTACAGATAGAAGCAAGCTGAAATGATTTATCTCTGACTTGATGATTTCCTGAGATTAACTAAGGATTTCCAAGCTGAATATCTTCCCTCTCTGATGAGCTGACATGATATAATGGTGATTGCCTTGGTTTGCTAAGGCTGCCATAGCAAATACCACAGACTGGGTGGCTTAAACAATAGAAATTTATTGTCTCTCAGTTCTGGAGTCTGGAAGTCCAACCCTGAGGTGCTGACAGGGCTGGTTTTTGCTGAGGCCTCTCTCTTGGCTGGCAGATGACTGTCTTCTCCTTGTGACCTCACATGGTCTTCCTTCACTGTGTGTCTGTCCAAATTTCCTTACTTAAAAGGACACCAGTCATATTGGATTAGGGCCCACTCTAATGACCTCATTCAAAGTTAATCACTTCTTGAAAGACCTTATTTTCAAATGCCATTACATTCAGAGGTACCAGAGGTCAGGATTTCAACATACAGATGGGGGGTGGGGGTGGGACACAAGTCAGCCTTGTGTGGGTGCATGCTCAGTCGCTCAGTCATGTTGACTTTTAGGGAATCCATGGACGCCAGGCTCCTCTGCCCATGGGATTCTCCAGGCAGGAATACTGGGGTGGGTTGCCATTTTCTCCTCCAGGGGATCTTCCTGACCCAGGGATTGAACCCAGGTCTCCTGCATTGGCAGGAAGATTCTTTACCACTGCATAACCTGGGAAGCCCTCCAACTCAACCATAACAGTGGTCAAAAGCATAGGTTCTAGAATCAAACAGCAGTGGCTTTGAAACATGCATCGACCACTTTCTAACTGGGTGGCCAGCTTTTCCAATCTCTTTCCCCATTTGTCCCATCTCTAAAACTGGAGATCATAATGTCTCCTCAGCAGATGGCTTTGCCATCGCCCTTAGGAGTGAATACACAAAATACTGTCACAAAATACTGTGTATTTACAGGAGTAAATACACAAAATAGTGTTTGATACTGTGTTATAAAACTCACAAATCATTGCTGTTGCCATTATTATTTTATTATTAAAATATTTTATCAAAGTACATGCCAAGTCAGGTACTTCATATAACTATTGAGTTATAAAGTCATGAAATAAAAAGAAATTCCTCTGCAGTATCAGTGAAACCAGTATGCCTTCATTGATAGGCCAATAGCAAGCCCTAAATAATTTTATGCTTCTTTATAGAAACATGTTCTTTTTATTTTTTTAGTTAATTTATTTTTTTTAATTGGAGGATAATTACTTTACCATAGTGTGATGGTTTTTGCCATACATCAACATGAATCAGCCATAGATATACATGTGTCCCCCCGATTCTGAAACCTCCCCCCAGCTCCCTCTCTACCCTATCCCTCTAGGTTGTCCCAGAGCACCAGCTTTGGGTACCCTGCTTCATGCATGGAACTCACACTGTCATCCGTTTTACATATAGTAATGTATATGTTTCAATTCTATTCTCTCAAATCATTCCACCCTTACCTTTTTCCATTGAGTCCAAAAGTCTGGTCTTTACATCTATGTCTTCTTTTAATTTAAAAAACTTTTTTTAAAAAAAGCACCTTCTTACTCTTTCCTTGCAAAGGTCTTCAGAGTTAGGTATGCACTTTATTTTGCAGCTGAAGAAAGTGGGGCACATGGAGGTTTAAGTGATTTGACTGTGGGGTTAGTGGAAGATAAGCTGCTAAAGGAATCCAGTCTTTTTCAACAAGCTTGGCTCACAGATCTCAACTGAACTGACTTTACTCCTTCCTTTGCTTCAATGATCATACACAGTTTGATTGGAGAGTTACACTATAATTTCACAGTGATTACATGCCCCTGAAGATCATTTTGTAAGTAAATGTTTTGAAACCAAAGATAATCATTGTTGCATGGCCATAAGCCTTTTTCTTATGCCATATTCTCCACCAAAGAATGTAGCCAAGCTAAAGTTACATTTCTGAGTTTCGGTAGCTGGCTCTGGGCTCTGCTCTGCATTTCTGGAACTCTTGAGGCCATCGGGGTATCTGGAGACACATTACTGTTTCCTGGCCTCTGGGATAACCTCTATCCTTTCCACTTGAGCACAAACACAAAGAAAGCTGCCATGGTGCTCTTGACATGAGGACTCTCAAACACAACAAAGCTAAGATGAATCAGAACCCAGTCCTTGTATAAGCTATTCAAAAGTGGAACATCCTGTCCAGAAGCTCTGAAATGTATTCTGATATCTGGGCATACCAAAGGTCCTCCTCTCTTTTTAGAAACTTCCTAATTGCGTGGCCACATTGTCTCCAGGGACATGTGCAGGATCAAGAATTCTCTAAGTTGGTAGCTCAGAGCTGCATCTACCTAATAACTCCAGAGGATAGCTCAGAACTGTGGCTTCCTTAGTTCTCTATTGACAAAGCAATAAGCTATAGTACTGTATTTGGAGATGGAAATGGCAACCCACTCCAGTATTCTTGCTGGAAAATTCCATGAACAGAGGAGCCTAGCGGTGTCGAAAAAGACTCGGACACAACAGAGCAACTAAGTAACAACAGTACTGTGTAACAAGGACCCTTTTTCTAGGTGGTCTACCTTTCCTGCATTTTCAAACCAGCCTGAAATTTTTACAAAGAATGATAAAAATTTAGATTATACATATTTATAGATCTACAGAGTGAACAAGTGATTCTTTGTGCTAAGTCACTTCAGTCATGTCCAATTCTTTGCAACCCTATGGACTATAGCCCCCCAGGCCCCTCTGTCCATGGGATTCTCCAGGCAAGAATACTGGAGTGGGTTGCCGTGCCCTACTCCAGGGGATCTTCCTGACCCAGGGATCAAACCTGAGTCTCTTATGTCTCTGTTTTGGCAGGCAGGTTCTTTACCACTACTGCCACCTGGGAAACCCGAGTGATTCTTTACCCATGAGATTAGCCTTCTGGCTCATGAGTCTCAGAGTAAAAAGCAAAAGAGAAGCATCTTGATGGTCATATCTGCCTTTGGCATTTGACAATAAATTATACTCATCAGGTACCATTTTTCCAGAGTCACAAGAGAAAATGTGACACCTTTTTTTTTCAGATGATATGAAAAGGGCTTACGGTTTACATTTCTCCAGTCCCTGTCACTTATTTCTCAGAACCCTGTCTCATTCTTTTGTGGTCATGTGGTAAAGCTCATCTGGAACACATGATGTTTATATTGACTTGCCTTTTTATTCCATTTTCACTTTTTGGTGTAAAAGCAAAGGCTTTCTGGGCTTAATAATGTTTTTCACTCTTTTCATGGAAATGGATTTTAGAAACAGAAATGATAGCAGTTTCCATATTCACATTTCCCAATAAACTTGTCATCAAAAGTCCTCAAAGAGCTCTCATTAATCACTTTTAGTCATTTCTTCCATGCAAATGAAGAGAGCTTGAAATGATTTGAGCTGTGCTTGCAGTAGATTCAAAGGCAAAACCTAAAATAATATTGCTTTTTTTTTTCCCCAAAGAATTGAAGATGTCCGTCCACAATTCCTGGATATTGATAACACTAGGGGATCAGATTTTCCTAAAGACAGGAGGAGAATGCACCTTCTGCTGGAAGCAAGAAAACAAGAAAACGAGAAGCATCTTCTTTAGAACAGACCCAGAAAAAGATGTCATTTAAGTTGAACAGTTTCTCTTGTTGCTCATTTGAATTTGGTGGATATTGTCTTGAACACTGAACTGTTGAAATCAAGAGATCATAAACCATGGAGGGAATCAAAATTAAAAGTTAAATCCTTGCCTGAGTGTGGACGTGAGATGCTGTGTGTGTTTTCTGCAGATGGACAAGCCAGCTTGTCCTTTTTTTCATTTGCAGCCTGTTTTGCCACAAACTGCCCTTCCAGAACTCCGGATAAACTGTTTAGGTGGGATTTCTGGATCGGCTGCTGGAAATGTGATCCAATCTACCTCCCTGATTTCCTGTGCACCCTGGAGACCTTAATCTCTGAACCTGTTTCCTCATCAGTAACTTCATTCAAATGTGGTGGGGTGGGGGAGGTGATGAGATGGGGGAGTCATATGGAGGTCAAGAGGGCAAAGGGAGAAATACAAAGAGTAACTTTTTGTTGAGAGTAGTTATGTAGACTGCCTGAATATCCCATCAGATCTTCATGGGTCACACACTTTTGCTGGGAGAATTCATGAATTCATTATAAAAACAAGAAAGAGAAGAGCTTTTGTCGGTTTATCTATTTATATAGCCCAAGACTATTATAGTTCTGCAAATTTAGGCTCTGGATAAGATATAGAATGAAGGTGGTGCGGTATACATTTCTACAGACCCCTGACTCTCTCCCAACTAAAGTCTCTAAACTATCAGATTGTAAGCAGAGAAGCAAGAGTAAGAAGATTTAAGTTAGTTTAGTTTTCTTAATGTGACCATGAAACAGTGGTTTTCAACCCAGACTGGGCATCAGAATCTCATCTAAATCTTTCCAAAAATATAGATGTTTGGCTCTACACTTAAGCTACTGGAATCAGAATTTCTGAAATACTCATAAATCTCCACAGGTAATTCTGAGAAGCAAAATTGGGAAATATGTAGGCTTGAAGGATTCTGATTCTTTTGGAACTCAACAGGAACATTCTCATCACTGACTGCTATTTTTCCTTGCTCATTTTAAAAACAAGTAGACATCATCTGAATTAAACACTTGAGTTTGTGTTGGATATTCACAACAGGTACTTTCCTGTGTAACACTGTCCAAAAAAAATTATTCTCATTTCAAATTCCTACCACCCCACCATGTGGATCAGTAGAATCTTGTTTTTGATCAGTCGCTCAGTCATGTCTAATCCTCTGTGATCCCATAGACTGCAGCATGCCAGGCTATGTTGTCCTTCACCATCTCCCAGAGTTTGCTCAAACTCATATCTATTGAGTTGGTGATGCAAATTTCTGTGGGTCAAAGTTTCTCACCCTTAGTACCATTATCATTTTAAGTGAGATGACTGTTTGTTGTGAGGGACTGCCCTGTGCATGATAGAATGTTTACCAGCATCCCTGGCCTCTGTCTAGGAGAACCCGATTCAATCCCTGAGTCAGGAAGATCCCCTGGAGAAGGGATGGGCTCCCCACTCCAATATTCTTGGGCTTCCCTGGTGGCTCAGATGGTAAAGAATCTGCCTGCAATATGGGAGACCTGAGTTCGATCTCTGGGTTGGGAAGATCCCCTAGAGGAGGACATGGCAACCCACTCCAGTATTCTTGCCTGGAGAATCCCCATGAACAGAGGAGCCTGGTGGGCGACAGTCCATGGGGTCACACAGAGTCAGACATGACTGAGTGACTAAGTACACTGGCCTCTGTCGACCAGAGGCAGTACGGCACCTCTCCAGTTTTGGCAACCAAGAAAATATCTCCAATCCTGGCCAAGTGTCCCCTAGAGCGCAGAATCAGCTCCAGTTGAGAACCACTGCTTTGTATGAGAGGAAGAAACACACAGCAATAGCATGGCATTAACTATTTCTCATCCGTCAAGCTTTCCTTGGACTTCTATGGTGGCTCAGAGGGTAAAAAAATCTGCCTGCAGTGCAGGAGATCGAGGTTGGATTCCTGGGTCAGGAAGATCCCCTGGAGAAGGGAATGGCAATCCACTGTAGTATTCTTGCCTGGAGAGTTCCATGGTCAGAGGAGCCTGGCAGGCTACAGTCCTTGGTGTCTGACCTGGGTCTCCTGGAACACTCAGGGGATCTTCCTGATGCTCTGGCATCAGTGGTACGTGTTCTCTTTACTGCTACCACCAGCTTGTTGCATCCTTTAATTGCTGTTGCTGCTCTTCAGTCACTGAGTCATGTCCAGTTCTTTGTGACCTCATGGACTGCAGCACATCAGCCTCCCCTGTCCTTCACCATCTCCAGGAAATTGCTCAAATTCATGTCCATTGAATCAGTGATGCTATCTAACCATCTCATCCTCTGCTGTCCCCTTATCCTTCTGCTCTCAATCTTTCCCAGATTAAAGACTCTTTTTCCAGCAAGGGTCTTTAATCCTTCAATTACCACCTCTTACTATCCCTGTGGTCTCCACCAGGGAGAGGTAATTACTAGTGAATAACCGTTGTTCCATCCCGCCATCTCTACTGTAATCGTAGAGTTGTTCAAGGCCATTCTTCTTCCAAAGACTTCTCCTAAGAAGCTGTTCCCTCCAAGGTAACTCTATCCCAAAGAATTAAGTGCCAGAGGCTCTGGATGTCAGGCATCACTGTGACCTTGATGGACCTGGAAAAAGAGGAAATTGTCTTCCCTCTGAGGCATGATAAATTTATGTTTAATTATTTACCATTGTAGTTTCTCATCTCTTTTACTATGCTCTTCCCCCAATCATTGAAGTAATGTGAGGGTTTTCTTTATACAATCTTGACAGATACAGTCTGAAGTAAAGTTGCTTGGAACACTAGATAGGTTTTGTAAATCTATAGCAGAAGGAAATGTCATGAAAGCCAAGATGATATATATGTTCATTCTGGGACTCAAATTACATCCAAAGGATAAGGAGGTAAATGGGAACTAGAGAAGCTTGAGTTGACAAAATTTAAATATGAAATTGACACATGCCAGGGCAGAGTGATCATTGCAACTTAAACTGGAAAACTGAGTTTTCCTTGACAGTGACAAGGAAGCTGATGTAGTTGGGCTTGGGTATAGAGAAGTTATTTTAAAAATTATATTTCTGCAGGCGAGAATGTATAACTGTTTAATGACAACGCCTGCACCATTTTTACCCTGGAAAAAAGCCTCTGAACTCCCCAAATGACCTTCCCACTTCCACTTAAGCCAATGGCTTTTCCATTTCCCCCTCACTGGATAAGCAAACTCGATTCTATGACAACTGTTTTTTGATCTTTTTTGTCCCCAAGATTGGTGATATCGTGCAAAACTATTGCATTTTTTATACTTTAGAAAAGGCACAAATTTTTGCTGTGCTCTCTTGTACATTATCTCAATAATTATCTGCATTTTACAAGTAAGAATCAGGCAAAGAAAGATGAAGTGACTTGATCAAAATTAACAAATGACAATTCTCATGCTACCACGTCAATCTGCTGATTTGAACATCATGTCCTGCACAATGTATCCTGGTAGCTAAATATTCCAAAGTGCTTTCAATTGACAGGAAATAGTTTTATGAATATCTTGGATTATAAAATAATTGAAGCAGAGCAGCGCCTTTTTCTGTTTGTTAATCTGCACTGTTTGGCAAGTAACAGAACAATGTTGCAAATGGCACAAACAGAAATGGGATCCTTGACATGTCATAACATGTCATCGTGGCTGGCTTCTCAACAATCTGTTATATTTTATATAGGCACCATTTTCTTTTTTGGAGGAGGAAATAGCAACCCACTCCAGTATTCTTGCCTGGAGAATTCCATGGACAGAGGAGCCTGAAAGGGTCGCAAAGCATCCATAAGAACTGAGCACACACGCACTTTCTCTTGTCAGATCTCTTGACCTTCTTTGCGTCTGTGTTGTTTTTGCTACTGTGGATCTCTGGGATAAGCCTCATCACATCCAGAAATCTTGTGTTCTGGAATGGTTTGTCTTACAGCCCAAATACTGACTATTCAAACCACCCTGATGCTTTCCTCTAAAGGTCAGTACATAATGGAATCGTGGTCGCTCATGCTCAGATGCAAACAGCATGTTCAATTTTATAGTCCATTCTAATGAATGTGGCGAATACATATCATTCCTCTTCCTGTCCCCACCCTTCCCAAGGACCTACAAAAAGGGAGGGGACAGGTGGGGTTTTCCCTTTTAATAATCAGGTTTCCTGGAGCTTTCTATTGTTTCAACTGGGAATAGGCTACAAACAAGCAAGTAATATTCTGAATTTATCACCTTTTCACAGAAATTTCCAAATCCTTTCTGATAAATAGAAATCATTTTCCAAACGTGCTCAGGGAAAGCAGGAACATCCCCTGGTCCAGGAACATTTGGTCATCCTAGCTCATAATCCTGCTGCAAAAATTTTCAGCCAGTATAAAAGGCCACTGCTTAATATTAGTTATGACTAGGAAAGTTCTGGAACAAAATACTATTAGTGATGCACTTTATTATCTGGATATTATTCTCATTCTTTCACTGCTGCCTACTTATCGAAACTTATGAGTAGGTGAATTATGCTACATACAATTGTTAAACAAACAAATTCTCTAAATAAAATTCTCAGTAAATTGAGTAGAAGGGGGAGAGAAAGAGGTAGAATGTTAGAGAAAGCCCAAAATTATCATCAGTACAGAGTGAAATTACTACAGCTGTACATCTGGCTTCTCTTAAACTCTGGGAGTTTGACAATAAGACCTAAATCTGCCAGGTTTATTTTTCCTCCAGTCAGTTCAGTTCAGTCACTCAGTCATGCCTGATTCTTTGAGACCCCATGAACCACAGCACACCAGGCCTCCCTGTCCAGCACCAACTCCCAGAGTCCACCCAAACCCATGTCCATAGGGTCGATGATGCCATCCAAGCATCTCATCCCCTGTCGTCCCCTTCTCCTCCTGCCCTCAACCTTTCCCAGCATCAGGGGCTTTTCAAATGAGTCAGCTCTTCACATCAGGTGGCCAAAGTACTGGAGTTTCAGCTTCAACATCA